AACATTGGTGCAGCTATAAAGAATTTGGAGACACAAGTGGGCCAATTATCAAAACAATTGGCCGATCAACAAAAAAGGGCCTTTCATGGCTACCGCTCTTCCAAATCCTAAGGAGCATTGCAAGGCGATTCTCACAAGAAGTGGTAGAGAAATTGACATGGGCGTAGTGTCGCACCTCGAAAAATCACGGAGACATTTCGGAGAAACGACCCTCGCGCGAAAGGCGCGGAAATGCGGTTCGACAGAGTCGCCACCGAACTTTATTTATCCCGAATAAACGGGAGAGGAAAATATCGAGAAAACCTCTTAAAAACGAAAGGATAGGAACAGGGCTATCGCAACCATGTTCTGGGTTCGGGAGTCGGTTACGTAAGGGGAAGGTATTAGCACCCCTCACGACCGTCGTACTCGACGGGAACCTCTTAAGGTAAATGCGGGGAGTGTTGTTTAGGTTTACTTGCTTTCTTCTCGTTGCTAAGGCGAATTGGTAGGGTAAAAGGTTAAAGACGTAAAGGAGAGATGGGTGGTTAGAGGATAGGGTGCTCGCCAAGGATTGGGGCCCTTGTGCCTACGTATGCTCATTCGGACGAGAATGAGAAATCAGAGCGTCGTAGTTCGACTACGGGAAAGGATGGGGGGAAACGGAAGATGGAAGTGTGGAATAGGGGAAAGAATGGGAAATGTGGACGGAATAATGGAGGAAGATAGAAGTGTGGAATAGGGGAAAGAATGGGAAATGTGCTCTCCAAGATCATCGCAATCTTGTGTCTACGTATCTTACATTCGGACGAGAATGAAGAATCAGAGCAATCGTAGTTCGTGGTAACAACCACGAAAGATGAGGTTTAAAAGGATTGAAGTTTGAGTTTGAGACGAAAGGGTGACTGACAAGCAACCCAAGAGCGTGCCTCAAGAGCTTGCCACTCAAGAATTCAAAGAATGCGAGATTCCAGGAACTCAATTCTTTCGGGAATTGACTGAATAAGTTGAAGATAAAGAGTTGGATGTTTTGAAATTGAAAGAATGAACTAATAACAACTCAAGGGCGCGCCTTGAGAGTTACTCATTTAAATATTCAAAGAATGCTAGATTCTAAGAATATCCCTCTTTCGTAAGTTTTTTAAAAATGTTTGTGAAAGGATCGAATCGAAAAAATGACATGCGAGGCCAAAAGGAAGTTGTTTTGAAGTAGCTCGACGACGTGTCGAGGATTTGATCGAAGATGGGATCGACTTGACGACGTGTCAAGGGTTAGATTGTGAGAAATGATATTGGTCCCTAAGGGTGCCTCCAATATCAAAACCACGAGGAGTAATGAATGTGCGTGCAAAATGTGGGTGATTGCGAATGCATACGAGCATTCGTCTTAAGAGAGCGTTGAAAATAATTGAGTTTGAAAAAGTCGAAGGGTTGAGTGAGTAACAACTCAAAGGGCGTGCCTCGAGAATTATTCACTCGAAAATTCAAGGAATGCTAGATTCCAAGAACCTCCTTTTTTCGGAATTTTAATCGGTAAAATGTTTTTGAAATAAATTGGATTGAATCGAGAGTATGAAAAGAGTTTGCGGTACGAGAGGTGAGAACACGAGATTGAATTTGAAAATGACGATTATTTAATAAATGAGACGTCGGCCTCACAACTAATTAATCAGAGTATTATCAAGATGCTAGATCTCGACAACACCTTTTTTCATTTGATTTATGTCTGAATGAACAACGGAAACATCCCACAGAGTTGCTGAATTCTTATGATATTTCTTTGTCCGAATAAGAGAACGAAAAGTTGAACAAAACATTATTTAAGGTGTACACCTTAACAACATCCATTCGAAAACTCAAGGAGTGCTAGACTTCAAGAGTTTAATTTTTCGTTTTTATCGAATAGGAAGAAATAACGCAACGTAAGTGCATACTAACCACATTGACTTGAATTTAGTAAGCTTTTGGTCTTGGCCCACCTCATTTATCAAAGTGAAAAAGAGAAAAGATTATTTAATCACTTAATTAATTTAATCTAAATTTAATTATTAAAACTATTTGATTAACAACTAATGTGATCAAATAATTAAATTAATTAAAGCTGATTAAAAGGATTAAATGATTTGAATTTAATTAATTAATTAATCATGCTAATCAAAATTAATTATCTAAATTATTCGATTAGCTCAAATAATTAGGTTAATTAAAATAACCAAATAAAAAATGATATTCAATATCAAATTAAATTCTTCTTTCTAATAATTTCAAGCACAACCGCTATATGCTTAACCGAAAAGCCCGAAACTAAGCAGCGGCATTGCTTCTCAAAGTTCCATTCCAAACTCTAACATAACTCATCCTTTTCATAAATAATCCTGTAGAACCAAAAAAAAAAACACCCCCAAAATTCCAATTGAACTATCGACAAGCAGATAAACAACAGGCTTTTAACTAGAACGAATTAACAGCAGTTGTTCCATATCAAACCGATAAAGCATAGTACCGTAGAAAAAACCGAGAACAAGTTTCAAGCATACAAATTTTATACAATAATTTCAGAGTATTAATTTTATATCACTTATACCGTCGATACGCGAAAACCAGAATATGAACATGAGAATAACCGTTACCGTCGCCAAATGTCAAAATCACTTGCAGGCCGCTGGATCCGCATATGTATCTCAGAGTTCAAGTCATTGGATTTAGAGGCTTGAATCGTCACAGCCGCAGCTAATCATACCCACTCTCATGAAATTGGATGATGCAAGTTGATATCGAAACCAAGACCCAAAGAGTTCTATCCTGCAATGTGGAAGCGGTGATGATTTTATTGATCTTTTGACGAATCTGAGGTGTGCGACGACATTGTAGGTTGTAAAGGCTTGAACATCTAAGTGACATAAACTATGATAGCTTGTGAAAGACGAGCTAAACTCGACACCATTGGAAACCTATACTCCTTTCAAGACATTCGCAATGTTGTCAAGAAAAACTTCGATTGACAATGTTGCTGAATGCACATCACTATGGTTGTTATCTTTGATGTCGCAGCTGCTGTTGCTTATGATTACATGCCCTTGCTGTTGTGATGTCGAAGCTGAATCGAACCAATATTGCTAATCAATCCTCAACCTGCACATAAATAAAAACACACCCAAATAGAGCAGCACAACCATACAAAAAATGAAAACCAAGAAGAAAAAGTTAAACTTAACATAACCCGTTCTCGCTCATCTCTGCCTCCATAAACCGAAACCAGTTCACCGCAGTTGTCGCAGAAGTTGTTGTTATTTATAAAAACCAAACCTTGCATCAGATTCGATACCTGCAATGAATAGGCAAAGCAAAACACATAGAATTCGTGAAGAATACATTAATACCATAATTTGCAACCGTAATCAAACCGAAAATCAATAAGGACCACAAAATAATGAGAATCGTATCAAGGTGTCGTGACAAGCTTCGGTGAATTGGTGCCTTTGAACTTGTTGTACACTTTGGATCCATGCTTCTGCTATCGACATTCGAAGTCGCGACCTCTCTGATACGAAACTGCAACAATCACCAAATTGGAGTCTGAACCTCAGACTCAACCTCAAACCTGTTACAAGTCAATCACAAACAAATACAAGCTATCTCGTGTGACATTAAAAGATTCCAAGTTATCAAAACAACAACACCAACTAAAATTTTACAAACAGCTTAAACTAATTCAATGAATGATGACTGCTGTGCCTTAGGCCATTGTTACCCGGTTCCTGTCATGAATGTTGCAGGGATCAACTGTTGTTGCGTGTCATTCGACTCCATATTCGTTTTTGCGCAATCAACATTCAGTGAAGCCGTAACTGAGATGGATTTATGCACTGTAAGTGCAGAGTTGTAGTTGTTGTAGTGTGGTTTTTATCAAACTGCATTGCGACCAACATTAAGTTTGATCGACGAAGGCTTTAAACCCTTTCAATGCTTCCACAATGACAACTCCCAATCGCTGTCATTGAATCTATGGATTTGTTGCTGCTATTCGACAGGGTTGCAACCTGTACGGAACCTCCTGTCAAAAAACAGTTAATACAACAAACATCTAAAACAACACATTTGCTTTTGATTTGAAAATCCTCCATCCATTGTGATAAGCTTGATTCGTATTAAACTGCAACTCAACAGATCCTGCAACAAACTCAAAACATAAGTTCGGTAAACTTTTCGTAAAAAAATTATCACAGCCGAATTTGGGAGAATAAACAACCGTTAGAGTAAAAAGCCGTTCTTCATCTTCCTGACATGTACATTCACCCTCAAAGTGAATCAACAACCAACACTTGATAACCGTTAGAGTAAAAACAACAATGAAGATTAAATGAACAACATGTCAGTCTGGCTTTAAATAATTGATTAAGAACATGAAAAAGCATTGCTATGGACAATAAACAACAAGAAAACATGATTACCAAGTACCAGAATCGAGATAGAAGAAAGAATAACAACCCACCATTACGTCAAATTCTCGGTTGCCGTGCTCAGGTCCGGTATGCGTTAGCCGAGATGGTGCTGCTCAAATCAATGTCGTCGGACTAAGTGTTGCAAGATGTTGAAACGCGCCGGCGAATCGTTGAACTGGGAACGAACTAATCAAAGTGTCCAGAAAGGGAACCCGGAGGGAACTCGTGGCATCATCACGAAGACCAAAACTTCTCAATCGGAGCTTTTCGTCACTTCTGAAACTGAGTGGAAGGATTTGATATCCCCGATTGGTGATTCGCAGCGATTTGAAGGTTTGATTTAATGGTGATGATCGTGGTAAGGGTGCATTGAAATAGAAGGTGGAGGTGAGGGAGGATGATGATGAAGGGATTTCGCGGTGGGGGAAGATGAGGGATAGGATTTTGGGGTGAATTGGGGACGAAGCGGCGCCGATTAGGGTTTGTAAGAGCCGAAGCTTTTAGGGTTTCAGAGGGAATTGGGGCGCCCCTCTTCGTGATGAACAGTACCTAGGGTTCCTTCAATGATTTTCCTCCCTCTTACTTATAGTGTCCGATTATGGGCACTCGATCCACTTGGGCCCAAGTCTGGCCTAAATCCTTCGCAGCTCTTCTAGCAAAGCTTGAGACGCCATCAGCAACTATGCAAGTTACTGGATATGGTGATGAAGTGTTGAGCTTCATCACAAGCTCTTTGAATGGACCATAACAGTTTTTCCTAGTCGAATCACACAGCGGCGGAACTTCCTGTGTTGCATCCTTATCTGATTCCGGTAAACCATCAGGTATAGTCTCAAACTGAAAATCCGGGAGACCTTTCACAAAGTCTTGTCCAAGAGATTTAATCAAACGTTTGTGGTTGAACTCAGTGTTGACAAAGGTTATGTGGAAACCGTTGCAACGGAAGAGTTTGGCTAGTTGCATCATTGGGTTGACATGGCCCTGTGCTGGAAATGGTACGAATACAGCATGAGGCTTTTGGGGAATTTCCATTTTAGGTTGATTTTCTTGAGAGACGTATAGTACTGGTTGGGTGGGATTGATATGTTTGTGAAGAAATAGTATAATTGAGGTGGGTTTGGTACTTTCTCTTATTGTCGTTTATATTAGGATAAGAGATAAAATTATTGATATGTGTTTTCAAATGAATTTGTCTTTTTATTATTTCGGAAAGAATAAAGGAATAGCAAAATTTCAAGGATATATACATAAATGTTACTTTTTCGATCTGTTCACTATTATTTTTTTTTAAAAATAGTGATAAATTAATATATGTGGTCTACTTCAACTTAAGCGAAAAACCACACAACTAAAGCTCCATTTTAAGTCTCCAACCTCTCATTTAAATTTTTCTTTGACTCCCTAAGTAGGACTATATCATCTACAAAAAACATGCATCTCAATGCTACCTCTTAAATATGTTTCGTGAGTATATCCAAAATTAAGCTAAAAATGTACGAGACATATATATTTTGATTATATTAACTATTTTATCGAATTAAGTATATTAAACAAGCAAGTGATCATATCAAATTAAAATGCCAATTAAATTTCATTTAGAAATTAATTAATTAATTAAATGACTATGAGCTCAAATATGAGTTGATGTCAAGGTGATCCATTTTGAAATAATGTAAACTCTAATTAGCCATCATTTTATAAATAGACTGTGATCTCCAATATATCATACATAAGCAATTTAGTTCTTCTTTCCATTTAAAGAGTACTCAAGGCATTATGAGTATCGGTTGAGTAAGAACCACACAAGTTATAGGGTGTTCATTGTTCATCTCTTACCTTTGTGATTCAGGATTACCGCCAACATGAATTTTCTCAATGGATACATGTATTCCTAAAATCAACTTGTAGGTCCTTTAATTTTATACATGTTTGTATGACTATCTTATTTCCGTATTAAATTATATGTTAGACTTTGTTGAGCATGTATATTTGATTGACCGTTATTGGTTTAGTTCTTATAAATGGTATCAGAGTCAGAATCAAAATTGACGTAAAAAATAAAAACTATTAATAAGGTCGATATATGAAATTATTCTATATTTTTTTATTAAAGGTATGTATTTCAATCTGTGAAATTCTGAAACAAAACGTAATGAAATCAATAAGGGTTCTTTGGTTTCATACATTTATAAAGGTGGTATGATTATATTTTTTTCTTCTATTTATTAATGATACTGAAACATGATATAGATTAAGGAATGTTTGGTTAATTATCGTATCATTAGAGGTGGAAAACAGATTAGGTCCGATAACTTGTTATCGCAGTGAGAATTGGATATCAAGTTATTGATTAACTTGAATCACAAATTGTTATTCACTACCGGTCTTTAATTTTTTCAAGGGAAGGGAAAAAGATCGAATAACCCATGAGTATGCAATGCAATGCAAAGTTAGAGAATCTAAGGTTCGGGGGTTGGTTAAACTTAGGGAAGGTATTAACATCCTAAGCATCTGTAGTACTATACAGAAATCTGTTGTTTATTGTGTTTATTGTTGTTTGCTAAAGGTAAGAGACCTATGGATTTATTTCTAAGTATGCTAGCCAAGAAGTCGCATCTTGTGCCTACGTATCCTGACGGGAGTGAAATCAAAGAATTTGTAATTCCCTAAAGGATTGAGGAACCATTAACTATGGTCAAAGTTCCAGGGGGGAGGTTTGTTGATTGATTCTAGGAGAAGAGACAAGTCGTCATCTTATGGAGAATACTCGACCTTAACCACCACAAGCGTATATAAGATGGTCTTTGCGTCGCATTGAGAGAAGAGCTCCAACTCGGATATATGATCGACGAGTGTGCCACATACCTCTCTCAAGCGAAAAAGATGCTACATATTTCTCGATTATGTTATGGGGTAGGAGAATTATATCTCGACTACACAGATGAATCACGTCTAATTCTCTTGCGGAAGAATAGGGGATTTAATTCTAACACTACGCCAGAAATAACATTTAGCAGCGCATACAAAGACAGCGCTTTTAGAAAAAGCGCTGCTAAAGAGGAATTAAAAAAAAAAAAGAAAAAAATTGATAACCAAAGACATCGCTTTCTCAGAAAGCGCTGCTAAATGGGGGTCCTAAGACAGCGCTTCTAAAAAGCGCTGCTAAAAGGGGGGTCTAAGACAGCCCAAAGACAACGCTTTTCAAAAAGCGCTGCTAAAGGGGGGGTCCTAAGGCAGCGCTTCCAAAAAGCGCTGCCAAATGGGGGGTCTAAGATAACCCAAAGACAACGCTTTTTAAAAAGCGCTGCTAAAGGGGGGGTCCTAAGGCAACGCTTCCAAAAAGCGCTGCTGTAGGTATGGTCTACGAGAGCGCTTTTTCCATAAAGCTCTGCTATATGGGTTACATTAGAATGTCTTTGAGAGCGCTTTTTAAAGCGCTGCTAAAGCTATTAAAAAGCGCTGCTATAGTTTTATTAGAATTAATTTAAAATATCCACCAGAATTTTTATGAGAAACAGAACAGTCATATTACGTTGCTTTCTTTCTTTCTCTCTGGCGAACAAAGAGTGTTGCCCTATAAACCACCATTGTCGTCCAACCATCGCCGTCCAACTGTCGCCGTCCGTCCAACCGTCGTCGTCGCCCTCGTCTGTTGCATTTGCATCCGTTCACCGTCCCTCTGCTCGTCTGCATTGCATTTCCGCCATTGTTACGGTATTTGAAGTTTTACTCTGGTTTTCTTTTTTACGTATATTTTCACCATTGTTGCCATAATCTTTAAGACAAACTGAATATGTTTTTATTATTTGAATGCAATCAAGTTAAGTCATTTTCTGTCATCTTGTTGTATGGATATCTACATGTTAAGTCTCTCTGTTGCATGTTATATATTTTGTATTTTAATCTACATGTTAAGTCTCTCTGTCATTGTTACGGATATTTTGTATGTTTTAGATTGACAAACAAGAGTTTGGATTGAAACTAATGAATTGCCCTGGGAACTGTTTGTTGTTTTTATATATTTTGACTCAATGTACTGATAAATTCAGAACAAGAGTACAATTAGAAACAAGGTGAATAGAACCAATACACTACGATAGTGAGAGATGAATAGAATCAAAAAAGTGAAGATAGTGTGTAAAAGTTGTACAAATGGAGAATGAAAATTAGTGGTGAGTTTATATGATGATGAATGTTAGTGTTGTTAAGTGATGGCTAGGTGGTAGATAGTTTTGCAAGGTGAATAAAGAATGGAAGAGATTGATAAAAGTTGTACAAATGGAGAATGAATAGAATAAAAAAAGGAAGGGAAAAGTGAGAGAAAATGAATAGTTAATTAATTAAAAAATATTAATGTAACTTGATAGAGCATATTTTTTTTTAATATAGTTTGGAAATTCCTATTTTTTAAGAGAGTAGCCAACATGAATATGGTTTTATATGATATGGTTTTATATGTTATTATGGTTTTATATGTTGATGGTTTTATATGTTGATATGTTAGTATGGATTTCTCAATGATTATATGATATGTTATTATGGTTTTATATGTTTAGTTAGGATTTCTCAATATTTAGTAAGGGTGTCATTTTGCTTTAAGGATTATCTAGTATTTTTAATATGATTTGTTTTGGTGGATTATCTAGTATTTTTGTCTTGGTTAATTATTAATATGATTTTAATAAAATTTATATTTTGTCTGCTATAGGGGTTACCTGTGAAGAGCAAAGCTGTGATCGTTTCCAAGCATCCTATTGCGTAGCATTCTTAGAAGTTAGTGATTTCCTTACAGGTGTTCTCTGTTTTGTTTAACTTTTATAGTTTAGTGTAGATTACTCAATTAGTATGGATAAAAAATGGATGTCTGGTAATCGATTGTCAAAAGAGTACGAGAATGAGTATCGAAGTTCGTTAAGTTTGCTGTTGAACACGCCAAAGACCCCAGTAGGATCACATGTCCTTGCTTAGGATGCTGTTATGGGCGTCGAGTTGACACCGTTCAGTTGGAATCTCATTTAATGAGACATGGAATTGATCGAAGTTACACATGTTGGACATTACATGGTGAGATAAGTAACGAGAATGTTGAACCCCGGAATAATACGACATGTGCTTCAAAGGACAATGGCAGAGATACATATGATTGTGATCGAGTCGGTGTTATGCATTCATACATCAGGTACTCCGATCCATTTTTATTAAATAATTGAACATTTTAAAATTTGCTCGTTTAACTTAATATTCTAATGTTGATTATGTTTTTTTAGGTTCTTGTATGACAAGTTATTGGTCCCGAATGAATTGACTTCAGTATTCGCATTCTTATCTGCTAACTGTGTCAACTCACGTATAATAGACCAGTCACCAGATACAGTCAAAGAGTACACAGTGCAGAGATTTATGCACGCGACTACGGAGAAGTTGTTCTTGTTGCCATATAACACTGGCCATGGGTTAGATTTTATTCTAAATTCATTTTATAATTGTTCGATTTTTCCCTTTCTATATATATAACATTTCCGTCTAAACTGTTGTCTTATTTTATAGTGGACATTGGTTGTTGATCGCAATTAATCCGACGAAAGAAATAGTGTATTATATAGATTCATTGGATGGTGATACAACAAAATATGAAAATCTGAGGAACTTTGTTGATACGTAAGTGATGACATATACTGTTGTCTTTAATTATATATCTTTATTTATTATGTGACATTGTTCTAAATATGCGTTTATATTATGTTAGAGTTATACAAATATTCAGAGCACAAAGAGATGCAACGGTGCCAAAAAGGAAGGCTAACAACATCAACTGGATCAGAGTAGAGGTATATTCTCGCATGTTTCTACTTGATAAAACTATTTCAACTATATATCCAGATAAATGTTCGTTTGTTTTTTCCATTTACAGTGTCCTCGGCAGCGCAATGATATTGACTGTGGATATTTTGTATTGCGATTTATGAGGGAAATTATTCTTTCTAGTCAACTTGAGATTCCAGTCCTGGTATGGATCAATTCATTATATAAGT